GTAAAGAAACAGTAAATGCAAACCAAGGCTTTCTCCTTAAAGCAATAAAGTACATTGAAAAGGAAATACTGCCAGGAGCTCCTTTGTGGTGATAGGTTTTGTATCAGGATTATGCTCGTGGTTGTACAGAGGTATGCACAGAATAAAATTGCACAGAACCCCCTCCTCCCACACACCCACAGGTAAAAACTGGTATGTCTGAATGAACTCTGTAGCCTAGTTAACAATATTGTACCAATGCCTATTTCTTGATTTTGATATAGCACTAAAGTTATATGTCACCGTTTAGCTGGCTGAAGCATGCACAGCACTTTTCGTGTTATTTTTGTGAGAACTTCCTATAGGTCTGCACTATTTCAAAATAAAAATAAAATTTGCTGGGCACAGTGCCTCATGCCTGTAATCCCAGCACTTTGGAAGGCTGAGGCAGCCAGATCACTTGAGATCAGGAGTTCAAGACCAGCCTGGCCAACGTGGTGAAACCCCATCTCTACTAAAAATACGAAAACTAGCTGGGTGTGGTGGTGGGTGCCTGTAATCCGAGCTCCTCAGGAGGCTAAGGCAGGAGAATCACTTGAACCTGGGATTTGAAGGTTGCAGTGAGCCAAGACTGTGCCATTGCACTCTAGCCTGGGCAAGAGAGTGAGACTCTGTCTCAAAAACAAAAAAACAAACAAAAAAAAACCCAAAAATAAACGGAGGGGAGTATTATCTTTCCTGTGTGACCTGCATCTGTGTACTGCCTAAAATCAATGTGTCTACTGTTCACTTTGGACAAAAATTGGTATATCTTTTTCTGCAGGTAAAAATCTAAGTCTATTCATTTATCTGGCTTTGGGCCCTTACAGAATAGTATGTAGTATCATTAGAGGCAAGATAGCATTGTGGTTAGGAGCCTAGGCTCAAGATTCCAACAGAAATGGAGGGAATCTCAGCTTTACTCTGCCTGTAGAGAGACCTTGGGTAATAGTCTTAAACCTCTCAGAGCCTAAGTTTTTTTGATTGAACAGTGAGGATAATGTGATTATGATATGTTTCTCATAGGGGTTATAGATAGATTTTATGAAATAATTCAGATAAGGCACTTTGCATACTACATGGCACTTAGTAAGTGCTCAAAGATCATTTATTTGTCTTATCTTTATCATCTTCTTTCTCTTATTCTCCCTCTTTTTCCATCATCATCATCATCATCATCATCATCAATCATTATCATTGTCATCAAGGGGGTTGAATTGTGTCCCTTAAAATGATATGTTCAAGGCTGGGCACAGTGACTTACATCTGTAATCCTAGCACTTTGGGAAGCCGAGATGGGCAGACCACTTGAGATTGGGAGTTCGAGACCAGGCTGACCAATATGGTGAAACCCCCACCTCTATTAAAAATACAATATTAGCCGGTTGTGGTGGCACATGCCTGTAATCTCAGCGACTTAGGAGGCTGAGGCAAGAGAATCACTTGAACCCAGGAGTTAGAGGTTGCAGTGCACTGAGATTGTATCATTGCACTCCAGCCTGGACAACAGGAGCAAAACTCTAACTCAAAAAAAAAAAAAATTAGTAAGTTCAAGTTCTAACCCCTGGTATTTGTGAATGTAAACAAGGTCTTCGCAGATGTAATCAATCAAATTAAGATGAGGTCATTCAGGCTTGGGGGATCATACTCCACTGACTGGTATCTTTATAAAAGAAAGAAGAGGTTATTCAGAGATAGAGATAAGGACAAGATGCTCAGGAGAGGAGACATGTAAAGATGGAAGAAGAGGCCAGGTGCAGTGGCTTACACCTGTAATCCCAGCACTTTTGGAGGCCAAGGTGTGTGGATCACTTGAGGTTAGGAGTTTGAGGCCAGTCTAACCTTTATGGCAAAACCCTGTCTCTACTAAAAATACAAAGATTAGCTGAGCATGCTGGTGCATGCTGTAATCCCAGCTACTCAGGAGCTGAGGCGTGAGAATCACTTGAACCTGGGAGGTCGAGGGTGCAGCTCCTGTGAGCTGATGTCACACCATCGCACTCCAATCTAGGCAACAGAGGGAAACTTAAAAAAAAAAAAAATGGTGGAGGCAGAGATTGGAGTTATACTGCTACAAACCAAGTCATGCCAAGACTTGCCAGTTGCAACAAGAAACTAGAAGAGGCAAGAAATAATCCTTTTCTAGAAACTTCAGAGGGAACATGACCCTGATAATTAACCTTGAATTTAGACTTCTAGTCTCCAGAATTATGAGAGAACAAATATGTATTTTAAGACAGCCAGTCTGTGATAATTTCTTGTGGCAATTCTAGGAATCTAATATGAATTTTTGTACTGGGAAGTGGAGTACTGCTATAAAAAATACCTACAATTTGGCTGGGCACAGTGGCTCATGCCTGTAATCCCAGCACTTCGGGTGGTCAAGGCGGGCAGATGACTTGAGATCAGAAGTTAAAGACCAGCTGGGCCAACATGGTGAAACCCTGATTCTACTAAAAATACAAAAATTAGCTGGGCGTGGTGGTGTATGCCTGTAGTCGCAGCTATTTGGAAGGCTGAGGCACGAGAATTGCTTGAACCTGGGAGGCAGAGGCTGTAGTGAGTTGAGATTGTACCACTGCACTCCAGCCTGGCTGACAGAGGGCAACTGTGTCTCAAAAGAAAGAACGAAGGAAGGAATGAAGGAAGGAAGGAGGGAAGGAAGGTAGGAAGGAAAGAAAGAAAGAAGGAAGAATCTGAAAATATGGAAGTGGCTTTGAAACTGGCTAGTGGGTAGAGGCTGAAAGAATTTTGAGGCATTGATAGAAGAAGCCTACGTTGCCTTGAAGAGATTATTGGTAGAAATATGGACATTAAAGGAGATGTACTGATGAGAACTCAAAGGGAAGGGAAGAGGTTGATAAAGAAAACTGCCATTGTTTTGGAGAATACATATATTATCACAAACAGTCTGCTATAGAGATATGATAATGAAAGGTGCTTCTCTTGAGGCCCCAGCAGGAAATGGGGAAACCAAAAAATAAATAAATAAAAATAAAAAAAGAAGAAAAACAGGAAACCAAAATAATTATTGCACAGAGGAGGAAAGGTGGTTCTTGTTACAAAGCGCCAGGAAATGTGGCTGAATTGTGTTCTACTATTTTGTGGAAAGTAGAACTTGTAAGCAGCGAATCTGCATGTTTAGCAGGGAGATTTCCAAGCAAAGCATTGAAGGTGTGACTTGGTTTCTCCTTGCATTTACAGTAAAATGCAAGAGGAAAGAGTTAAATCAAGGAAAAACCTATTAAGGCAAGAAGGAGACAGACCTTGGTGATTTGAAATAATCCCAGTCTATCTATATTTCAAAAGATGATAAAACACATTCTGGAGAGAATTCCCATAGAGTAGCTGGAAAACCATTTGCTAAAGAGGTTGAATTTATTTATTTATTTTTTTTGAGACAGAGTCTCTTTCTGTCACCCAGGGTGTAGTGCAGTGGTGGGATCTTGGCTGACCGCAACCTCTACCTCCCAGGTTCAAGTTATTCTCATGCCTCAGCCTCCAGAGTAGCTGGGACTACAAGTGCATGCCACCACACCCAGCTAATTTTTGTATTTCTTAGTAGTGACAGGGTTTCGCCATGTAGCTCAGGCTGGTCTCAAACTCCTGACTTCAAGTGATCCACCCACCTCAGCCTCCCAAAGGCTGGGATTACAGGTGTGAGCCAACATGCATGGCCTAATCTCCTTGTTTCTGACTGCTGTCTCTTGTTCCTACAGAGGCTGAATATTTGACTAATGGCAACAATCAGCCGTCCTAGCAGAAGCCAGGAATACAGATGGGGATATCCAGGAAAGATATGTGGAGAGCACTCTTACTTGATGGTGTGGACTCTGAGTTGCACAGGAGACCCTCAAAGCTTTGAGAAAGTTATATCAGTACAATTACTGTCACTTCGAACTGAAAGGGACAGAGGCAGAATGAAATGAAGTGAAGCTGTTGGATTTCCAAAATGTCACAGGCAGTATATGAGCTCATAAAGGTACTGAGCTTCAAACGTGTTTCCTCCAAGAAAAAGGAAGAATGACTCTAAGTACATCCCTAAGACTTGCAGGGCTTCTGTAGCCTCAGAAGGCAGAGCATCAGCCCTTTGAGGATTATTTTCAGGACTTGAGACCTAATAAAAATTTGTTTTGCTGAGGTTTTTTATTTTTAAATTTTTTTTAGGCAGAATCTTGCTCTGTTGCCCAGGCTGGAGTGCAGGGGTGCGATCTCAGCTCACTGTAGCCACACATTGTCTTCCAGGTTCAAGTGATTCTCCTGCTTCAGCCTTCCAAGTAGCTGGGATTACAGTCATGCACGACCAAACCTGGTGAATTTTTGTATTTTTAGTGGAGACAGGGTTTTGCCATGTGGACCAGGCTGGTCTTGAACTCCTGACCTCAGGGGATCCACCCACCTCGGCCTCCCAAAGTGCTGGGATTACAGATGTGAGCCACCGTGCCTGGCCTTGTCTTGCTGAGTTTTAAACTCACTTGGGACAAGCGACCCCCTTATTCTTTCCATTTTCTCTCTCTAGGAATAGGAATGTCTCTCCTGTATCTGTCCTGTCATTGAATTTTGGAATCAAGTAACTTGTTTTATACTTTCACATTTCCGCAGATGAAGAAGATTTTTGCCTCAGGACTCATACCCAGACTTGCACCCAAGCTTGACTTCGATGGTAAGATTTGGCACTTCTTGAGTTGATGA